AACCACCCGCTCATGAAAACTCAATGCTCCACGCGATTCACATCGCGTGCTAAACGTTATTACGACAGTCTCTGCGATTTAAAAATCTGGCAACCTCAATCTTGACGCTTTGGCTCAGCTATAGCAAATTGCTTATAGTTTGAAAAATACATGGCGGGAAATGAACATTGCTCGGTTGAGAGGCTTGCTGAAACCGTTGTATAGTGCGCGATTTGACTCACGTAGAGCTTTGAGTTTTTTGTGAGCGGGCAGCTCAAATTCCTCGTAACCAATGTGAAATAAAAACGTTAATATCTTCGTTAGGAGTTGGTTTCAGTAATTTTCGTTGTGTGAATCGTGTTTTACGTGAAATTCTTGTTGAGAAACATGTATCAGATTGTTTAAATTCGTACCTCGTCTAGTGGTCCATTCCGTCTGCTGAGTTGGAAAAGCGGGATTTTACATCCTGTCAAGCAGAACTATGTGCAAAGTGTATGAGCCATGGGCGTGTGTCAAGAGCGCTGCGAACAGGGCTCATGAGTTAATGCTCACCACGCCGAGCTTCGACGACGGCTTCGTCACTGGCGCTTTATATTTCCCATTCATTCTTATGACCCGAGCACTAACGAGCAGACCCCATCATTCCCACCCGCACATAGTTCTGTTTGATAGAAATACGTCCAAATATTCATTCCTAAAATGAATAATTTTCTCAAATTCCCTAAAATATATTTACCTATTTATTTCCTTGTCTTTCCCGTCTTTATACTTGTCATTGTTATTATTTTTTAAGACTAAAATATTTACAAAAATAGATGGGAAAAAAAGAAAAACCCCGAAAAAATTTACAGAGATATGAACAGGAGTACGATATAAATTTTAAAAAGGGAAGGGAGTGGGGGATATGGAAAAAACTGAAAAAGCCGAAGCGCTCTAATAGGACTTTTTGCGCCTTGTTGTTTTCACGTCCAAAATGATGAAAGCAATGTTTTCTCTTAAAATGGGCCGTTTTAGTATTACGTAGGTACGCTACTCTGAGCTCTCTTTACGAGATCCAACGATGAGAGAAGGGGAGGGGGGGTCAAGCCTAGTCTTACGTCAGCCTCTCATTTAAAAAAAAAAAAAAAATTATTTTGCATTGAAAACACCTCTAGAAAAGCCATCACAAGGCATCTTATAACGACATCAAAATCCGATAGGTTTCACCCTTATAGATATATAAAATAGATTGTGCTGAAACTTGTGGGTTTTGAGCTGCTAAATTATTCTAACTTCGATTTGTTTAAATTTCATTGCTTCTTTCTAAAATGTTAGCAGTCATTGCCCCTTCTATTACAGTGTTGAGAAAAGTATTTCCGAGCATTTCGAGTTTTTTTTTTGCAGTAAGCTAGCTTCCTTCTTCTTGTGAATCTCCTCACAAAAATTTCGCACAAATGAAATCATGTGGTTTGGCAAAACAAGTATGTTCCTTTTTTCCCTCTTGTTTTCGCATCATGACGGCTGTGAGCACATTCAAAAAGGGTATAATACAGTGACGTGTCATGGTCAGAACTCAGGTTTGGGGCTAAAAATAAATAAAAGCAGGAAAAAGTCAACTACTGTCACTTATTCTTGAAAGCTCGACGTCACAATGGAATCGTAAAGACATTTTAAAAGCTTTTTGTGACAGAATGTGGCGCAAGCACCTGACAAAAACATTTGAATCTAGTCACATCCAGCACGTTCAGTTTTGCTTGCCCCAATTGCGATGACAAGCCATGATTTCAACCACTTTATTTCGATGCCCAACAAGGACGATTTATTTTCTAAATTAAGTCTCTTCCGGTATACTCCCTGGTAAAAATTGGCAGTAGAATCTATGTTCCAAAATACCACAGACTTACAGCCGGCTGTAAGATTTCCAATAGCTTCTATAGCCGGCAACACAATTTCTTATAGCCTTTTATAGCCGATGGCGATTTAGCAACAGCCTGGCAATAAAGTGTATGCTAAACGTTACTAATTACGGATGCTAGGACTTAGTGAGGTATCGGACTACCGCTCTCTTTTTGGGCCGCAGTATCTTGATTTAATTTGCGAGGAAAGATCCGTACTTTTGAAGGATGCCTGCCATTCCTAATATGTTGGAGCGCCTTCAATTTCGTATGATACTGTGCAATACCTCTGGTGTGAAATAGCGCCGCGGTACGCTGCGGCGCGGCGGGCGGGCAGCAGCCAGCGCTGAACGCGCATTGGCGCCTACAAACCTAACAGGGATACTTCACGCATTGCGCAATGCGTGAAGTATCCCTGTTAGGTTTGTAGGCGCCAGTGCGCCGCCGCTCCGCTTTGTGTTAGGCTCTAATATTTAATCTCGCGGAGTCAGCGTTTTTCAACTCATGACTTTGAAATGTTTGCTCACTCTGTATGGATCATTCTCATTTTAATTGATGAAAAAAAAGTAAGTAGTAAAGGAAAATATAATGTGCGTTTTGTAAATATTAAGGTGATTCCGTACAAACTTAAGGATTTACAAAGCACAAGAATTTCTGCACAATTTCTTATTGCCTTTTATAGCCGATGGCGAAAAAGCAACAGCCAGGCGATAAAGTGTAAAGCCCGGCGATAGGAACTATAGCCCGGCTGTATAATTTTTTATCGCTTCGTGTAGCCCGGCCGTATGATTTTTTCCACTTTCTATAGCCAGCTAGATGATTTTCTTTCGCCCTCTTCAGTCGGCTATAAGAAATCCTATGGTATTTTGAAACGCAGCTCCTATCGCCAATTTTTACCAGGGCTGCCGTGCTAAGGAAGAACGCCGTATGAACATTCGAGAGTTGCCAAATCTTCCACGATAAAACATGTAAGTATTTTTGACAACATTGATGCATATTTTCCCTTGAAATTTTGAGATATTTTAGATTAAATTACGGACAAAAAGGTCTGAAAATTTTGGAAAAAAATATTCACAATTTTCTCAGTAATTTCGGGTTTTATCGGTAGAAACTTGGCAATGTCTGATGGCTCATACGGCGTGCTTCCTTCGCAAGGTATGAATGACGTTTTTAAAATTTGGTCAAGATTCGAAGGATGGATCATTCCGCGTCAGATCAACGAGGCAATTTACTCAATTCTGGATTTTGGTGAAATTGGTGAAAGGGGACGGCAACCCTATAATCGAAAATGAGATAGTATTAAAAATTGAAGCGGGAAGGTATAAGAGGCAAAAGGGCTCTGTCCTGAATGAAAAATTCGCAACATCGGCAGAGATTTGAAAGATTGTAAGTCTGACTGATGACGTCATGCGCTCCCGGTGCAACTGCGGTCCACACGCACACAACTCGAAGTCAAGTCGCTTTCATTCAGCGATTTTATTCTTGATTCAAAATAAAATCTTCTTGACAGCACACTCATGCAAGAATGTTTGGTTAGGTTACTTAAATCGAGCCACTTGTTTCTCTAGTGAAATTTAATAAGCATGCTAAAGGTTAATAAATACGGATGCTAGGACTTGGTGAGTTTTTAGACTAGCGCTCTCTCTCTCTCTGTGCCGTATTATCTTGATTTATTTTGCGAGGAAAGCTCCGTACTCTTAAAGGATGCCTGTCATTTTTAATATGTTGGAGCGCCTTCAATTTCGTGTGTGCGCTGTGCAGCACCTCTGTTGTGAAATAGTTGCTTGAGGCGCCACGGCACGGTGAGGCGGCGGGTAAGCGGCAGCCGGGAACGCGCACTGGCGCCTACAAACCTAACAGAGATACTTCACGCATTGCGCAATGCGTGAGGTATCCCTGTTAGGTTTGTAGGCGCCAGTGCGCGTGTCGAGCTGGCAGCACGCCGCCGCTCCGCTCTGTGTTTGGCTCTAATATTTAGACTCGCGGAGTCAGCGTTTTTCAACTCATGATTTGAAATGTTTGCTCGCACTGCTTCGATTATTCTCACTTAAATTGATGAAAAAAGAAAAAAATGTATCAAAAGAAAATATAATGTGTGTTTTGTAAATATTGAGGTGGTTCAGTGTTAAATTTAATGATTTCCAAAGCACTTAAATTTATTCTTTTGTAATTTGTGCTTTACTGTGCTGCGGCGTGGTGCACGCGCTACCAAACGCTCAAAATTGGACGAATTTGACTCTAAAAGATCGATGATCATGTGCGTTACAACCAAAAATTGCGTGCTCCTTGGTTTTTTCCCCTCTTTTACAAATATTTGCCACGTTTGGAAAATGTAGGTAAATGTTTTTAAGTGAAAAAATATTTTCATTAAACAAAAAAAAGGTAAAAAAAAAGGCATATTTTACATCGAAAATTTTAAGGATAGAAATAAAACCAAATATTCAGTATTCGCCGATGACAATTCGAAAAGATGAATCAAAAGAAGAAAGTAACATTTCATTTAAAAAATGAGTTACCATAACAACACCTCCTTCCCTCTCAATTTTTTCATTTCGATATTGTCTATATATTTTTATGTACAGACTAAAATATAAGGCTTACCCCAAGTCACTGTTGCTTATTTTACACATGGGTGAAACTACTGGGCAAAACGGGTGCACAGACATAAAATCGTTGTCGAAATGTCCTGAAAGTATTTGGTTTACTTTGGTCCAACAAAGGCTGATATTTCTGAAGGAAGGGCCTACAGGAGATGGGAGACTTAATTTCTTCCATTTCTCTTTTTGAACAAGCAGAGAGAAATGGTCTCAGCTACGCTGCCGTAATTTTCTGTTGCCTAAAAGGATCTACTTTCATGGCATCAAGAAAATCGAACGGCACTAAAATTTCTAAAATTTAAATGAAGGCCACAGAGTTTCTAATCCCATAGGACCATGGGGAGCGCAAAAATAGATCAAGGCTCTCATGAGGGCAGGAGACTTGTGCTTCGTTTCGTTCTTCAACCAACAGTTCAGGAGATATTTGCATTTTTCCTTTTTCAAAAATAAATCCATTACTGTGGAGACCCTGAATCTTAAAATTTGAGTGAAAATCATGATCATTTGGTAGAAATAGAAAGTGGATGGGAGAAAATAATTAACAATAAAATAGATGAAACAAACAGTTTATGAACAAAAATTGACTCAGTGCACATGAGTTGAGTTTTCAACAACAATTACAAGATATAGAAAAAAAACACCTGATTGTACTTAAAATGAAGCAAACAATGGATTACTGAGATTTCTTAGCTAAACAGTAATTGATGCCCTGATTTATTGCACATCAAGTTAATAAGTCAAGGTAGATAATAGTAAAGCTTCAAGTCTTAACGACTGAGGTTAGTTGCAGGACATCAAAAACAGGGAAACAGTTCTATCTTTGAAAACAAAAAGAAGGATGGAAAGAAACTAGATCTCAGTTGAAGATTGTTTCATTAATTACTCGGATTTCACTTAAAATGAGGATAATCTACAATAAATACAGGTACTCCCACAGTCAAAAACTTATCACTTTTCACTTACCCTAGATCATTTGAACCAAAACAGTAATGCTAAGATTTCCAAACTAGTTTCTCTTAAATTTTAATCAGTTTTCTGAGGCCTTATTTGTCTTATTAATAAGTTAGTACACTTAAATTTAAATTAATTAAGTTTCAGCAAGATATATTCTTCGGTTTAGTAGAAATTCAGCCATAAAAAAGACTCCTATAATCTTCTTGTGGAGACGATTCTGTTACACTTCAGAATGGATTAGGCAGCTATCATTAGAGCTCATTGGGATTTTCGTTGACAATTGTCAATATCAAACACCAAATTTTTTTCATTTCTTGCAAGTTGATTGCATGAGGATTCCAGAGAAGTACCTGCATTCATTTTAGGTCATCTTCGTGATGAACATACAAACTCTCATGACGTGAATTTAACTAAGGCCACTTAAAAGTTGACTTTTGAGAGCTTAAATCGGAGCCAAGAAATTACACAAATCAAAGCTATCGGGCAAAGAGTCAAATAATCACTCAGGTTTGATACACAGCTCAGTATTCAAGGTATATTATTTTGAGAGAGAGAGAGAGAAAAAAAATGAAATACTTATGTAAAGCATGCATTGAATAATGCATAAATCAGGCTGAAATACATATTAACTTAGTGTATTCATCTTCAGGCTAGAAATGTAAGGATGAAAAATTTGAGAGTTTTGACAGGAAGAAATGAGAAAAATTAGAGGTGGCAGATGTGGATAAATGGGCCAACATTTCCTTTTTGATCTCTGACAAACTTAAAATGATCAAATTTACTTGGGTATTTTCTAACTGCTGCATGTATTAGATTTGGAAAAATACCAGTGGTAGTTATGCTTTTTAAGTTACAACTGGAATTCTCTCTACACTTTTTCATCTACTGCTCACTGAACACCTGTGAGTGAAGCCACAAAGAAGGAAATACCTACTTCAAAACACAATACTTTCTTGGTGCAAGATTATTTTTTCTCCAAAAGTTGATTTCAGGACTTCAAATTTTTCTCAAAAGAAGGCTAAAGAAAGAACATTTTTGTTTGCCTTTGAACAACAGAAGAATATGAGATAAAAAGAAGAGTGAATGTGTAATTGTTCATCTCATCGTTTGAACATTACATCAGTGGCTCTCAATTTGAAGCAACCCATTGGCCCACTAGTATTGGCCATGACAAATATCTTATGTACTTAGGTTCTAAAATCATAGGATAAATCATAATTTAGGGACTAAAAAATTCTACCTGCTAGATCAAGGTGAGAGTTCCTGAATAATTAAAAAAAAAAAGCAATATTTGTTTTAACACAGTCCAGGGTGCAATAGTAACAATTTTTCTGGGGTTTGATGATTAAAACTGGGATGAATTAATAATTCACAGCTGGAAAAAGAGTTATTTTAACAAACGTAACAAATAAAAAAAGGCCAACTATTTTGCAACACAAAAAAATTAATGTCAGAGGACAATGTGCAAATTTACTCTTTGTTATGGCATAGCTTCAACAAATTGATCCAAACCATTACATTACTGGATGTTACCATACATTTATGGGTTGGATTAGAAAAAATAATTCACTCCTATAGTCAATCGTTCAGATTCTAAATGAAAATCAACACAAAAAATTTAAACTTAAATGTGACTAATTTGTTATTTAGAATTAACATGGGTGAAAATGAAAAAAGGAGAATGGTTTAGGGAAGACAGAAGCTTAAAGGAGTGCTGCACAAAACATATTTGATTCTCTTGTGCGAAAGTACTGGAGAAGCTGAGCTGAGTAGCAACGAAATGATTTCAGGATCTTTCTTCAAATATGAAATCAGAGATAGCAAAAAATGTGAGGGATTACAGTCTATTTTGTAATAATGCAGGAATACTGGAAAAGTCTCATTTAATTACTTTCATTTCACAGAATTTAACTCAGATTTGCCTGCTTGTTTTATAACCCATGCAATAAGCATGTTCCATGAACAGTAACACATATTATATGCAAACATGAGTGATTGTTCTACTCAGTGTGAATAGAGTATGCAGTTCAAAGCACTTTACAATAAAATTCCATAATTACATGTATCAACAGCAAATAAAGACAATCAGTCAAAATTAAGTAAAAACGCAAGAATAGAAAAATTTCTGCTGGTTCGGTTCAAATGAGTTCAAAACATTGAAAAAGAGGAAAAATCGCAAGAAAAGGGTTCAGGCAAGCTATGAAACAAGATTAGCTGAATGGAAACATAAAATAAGAGAGGGCTGTTATCAAGGCTAAAGCCGGAAAAAATTTAAGGCGGTTTGTCCTCTTTAATAAAAGGACCAGTTTGCCAGCTATCCACTCTCAGAGATACCCTAAAAAAAGATGATCTATCTAAAGATAGCTTGACAGCTAATAATTACTTCCTCTGCATACAAAATGTACCAAAAGAGCTTCCTTCACATGAAAGAGATCAATGGCTTTCCCATTATTGACAACAGTTGAGTACGGTGTTCGGGGCAAAGTTCTCCATAAAGTGGAGGAAAAATCATTAGAACTAAATAGATATTCCAACTTTTTTTGGGTTCATAGTATTTGTAGAAACAATTTACCAAGAATAGGGACATTGGCACATCCATAATACCCAAACAGAGATTTATGAACCATTCTTCACTGAAAATGCCTCCAATAACCTACAGAGGGGTTTCCAGACAAATTCAAGCAAAAATATAGTTTAAATTGCTTAAATTATAGCAGTGACCTTTTTTTTATTCAGATTATTGTGAACTCAACTTGCAAAGTATTTTTGTGTATAATTGACAAAAATTAGGAGAAAGCCTACTGCAAAACGAATCATTTCAGAGAAAAATACCAGAATGTCTGCAGCATAAATAGTTAGATAGTAGATTCTTGTCTGTAAATACATAATACTTTAGGGTGAGAGATATTTCATTTGATTTTTCTCATCCAAACTTTACTTTGGTATGCGATTCAAGCACTAACTCCTCTAATACTACCCCCCCCCCCCCCTAAAAAAAAAATAAATAAATACTGAATTGAATGAGAGAGAAAGAGGAAAAAAGAAAAAACAGGTGTCTCCATTCTTTGCCTCTCTTTACACGTATTAATACCTAAATAACAAACGATTCTAAAATGTACATCTATGTACATGTAGATTGGATCATTAAAAATATAAAGAAAATACGATCATCTGTTGCGAACATAAATTATCAATTTTCTTTAAAATTTACAACTACCGAATATATTTTTTGTTTGGTTAGAATTAAATTTTCCTCGGCAAAAACTGCTTGCCGGAGAACTACAATATCACAATTGTTTTTACCGGAGAAAAATCTGATGAAGTAAAAAACTTAACATACAAGGGTGAAACTTCGGAGACTGCACCTATTTCCAATGTCTCAAAGATCCACCAATGGCAGATTTGTGGCTGAAGAGCTGCCTGGTTACAACTTGTCCAAGGACTGAAAAAAAAGAAAAACGAAAAATGATTGATTTTTATACACTTGAACAAATCTAATGTTTGAAGTGCCTTTAGCAAACATAAACTATCAGTTAGGGCTCATATTTGGCATAGAGAAAAAAAAGGAGGTGTTTGCATTTCGGGCATCTTGGAATTTTTTGGATGATTTGATGATGTAGGTCAGTACAGCGACGTTTATCCTGTCGATTTTCTTGGAAATGTTGTAATTTAAGGAAAAAAGTCATTCTATAAAAAGTGCTTGAAATTATATAACGAGTTGATTTAAGTAAAAAATCGGACATTATGGTCCGTTTTTCATAATTCCGGATTTCGCTGGCCAGGTTGTACCGACTTACGTCACAGGATAAACAAACCTCAAGATGCAAACACCTCCTTTTTTTTCTCTATGCATATTTGGATTCTTTCAGGGAATCCATCACGGGGAAAAATGCAAATATATGTACTTCAGGTGGCGCACTCCCTCTCCCCCCTTCTTTTGTGATACTTCCTTGGGTTGAGTTGATAAGAAATTTGCATTGCAAATGGCAAATTGCTATAGATCAATATTCTAAACTGTTGGCTGGTCAATTTTGAAAATTTAAATGTTATCAGGCCGCCATCCAAGTAATGAGGAGTATTAGATTACCGAAAAAGGCTTTTTTTTCTGACAATCCCAAGAATTGTCACTAACTCTCACCGTGGCTTGTTCTCACGAACCCATGATATTGATACACGGACTTATCTAGCAAAGATTGATGAGAATGTTTATTTATTATTGTCAAACAGTCATCACTTTAATTGTTTATGCTTCAAAATTTTACTGTAGGTGGATTTTTGGAGCATAAAACTTACCTCGGTTGAGGATTTACTCGTTGGTCTTGATTTCTGACGACGCTGAGCTAATTTGCTCATTGCGATGGGACCTAAATTTGGTGCAGGTGGAGATTGGCTCATTGCACGGTAAGTTGCTGCCATGGCTCCCTACAACAAGTAAGTATAAAATTAACAAAAAATAAAGATAAAATCGGTCATTTAAAGGGCATAAAATAAGATTCTATTTCCTTGAGTACAGTAACACTCCAATAAGCACAGTGATAAGACTACAATGCACGGTATGACAAAAAGCACTACAGAACATATTATGTCATGTAGAATGCGATTAACATATGAACAATTTCTAAATTCAATTCATGAGTGAGAAAATATTTATCTCTATGGTTGCCCAATTCAAACATCCTTCTCACTAAAAAACCAAGATCTGCAATCATCAATAAACAAATTTCAATGTTCCAGAACTGTGAAATTAATTCTGTTTGCTGAATTTTTCTTGAAAAGTTTACATGTTCTGTGAATTAGAAAAGACGAAATATTCTGATAAATCAAGCAGTGTCAATTCCCTAAACAGATCAGATTGTTCTTAATGGCAGATTTGACCAACACTGATCTCGGTTGTTTTTTTTTTTTTTTTTTTTTTTTTTTTTTTTTTTTTTTTTTTTTTTTTTTTTTTTTGGGACTAGATAGTTTAAATTTACTAATGCAAATTTCAACTATGGATGCTAGGTAGCATTCTACCAAAAGAAATTTCTAACTTTTTAATTAATTTTGGTGATTTTTAATACAATTAATGTTTGAAATTTTATAGGGTTGTACAAAAAGACCAACATCATGAATAACTGGAGATGCGAAGTGAATGACTACCCAACTGACTGAAGCCGCTAACTGATATTTACAAATATTCCTGCAGGCCAGAAATATCGTCTCATAGCAGTCAACATGGGTAGAATTGGAGGTGGTATATGACCTCACTCAAATTGCATTTTCACCATAACAGCAATTATCGTCACAAAAAATTGTTTTGAGACGCTTGGACTAAGAATTAAAGGCAAATTGTGTGCTGTGGTAAATTGGCAGATGTGTTGAACTTCGTAATTGCCCTCTGAAATGCTCACCTACCTTCAGAAAAGCAATCACGGTAATTTTGCAAAACAATTCAGCTGAACATGAAAACTATGCTGAAAATCAGCATAGTTTTCTATCCGTATCGCACAAGCGCAGTTTCATCATTCTGTCAGAATAAACAAGAAACCTTAAACATTTAGTTATGGCATGGTTTCATTCCAACACTCAAGATGACAATGATTGTAGTATTAAGTGGGATCACCAAAAAAAAAAAAAAAAAATAATAACCAAACTCACCTTAATGATGGACGATTCTTGAAGTTGAAGCCTAAAAGTTGACAATTGATTTCGGTTGGTGAGCCATGGGTGTTGAAGTGTTTGGCTTGCAGTGGGTCTCTTGTGAGGATCTAAATGCAACATTTTTGCAACTAAGTCCTAGTTGAAAACAAAATGAAAAACAACCATGAGAATTGTTGGTCCATTGTTTGAAAGCTCTCATGTGCACACTTTCCCAAATATGTACAGCTTGAGGTTTTTAAGTTTGTATTGTAGGTAAGTACTTTCGTGGCTAATATGAAACTGCGACAAAATAGAGAAGTTGGTAACATTGCAGAGAAGAGTGTTCAACTATAAATATTAAACCTACACCGGAGATTTGACAATGATGGAAGCTTTTACTTTCGGGACTTACAGAATTAGTTGTGAGCAGTTTGGCTCAGATTTGTGCCTACTGAGTTTGAATTTTATTCTGGCAATTTTAAGTCTCTTGCAAGGTAGGTTTGACTTTAAATAGTATGTCTGCAGATTAAAATTTTTGACTCATAAACATCAAACTACTACATCTACGGTTATATTTGACACCCTTAGGAATTCCGCAGGAAAGTAAGAATGCAGAACAGCAGGTTGCAATAAAAAACGAGGGAAAAAGTTCGAAAGATTCAGTTTTTTTTTTTCCAAAATATTTCAAGCGTTATTTTTAACATTTCAAAATTTTGTGCAATTTGAGATGTATGTTTAAAAGTGTTAATTGCAATTTCCTATTTTTTTTAGGAAACTTGTTCGGAAAGTACAAGGGCTTTTCTTTAGAACCCAGCAAAAATTTAAAAGAAAAAATCTTTTAAATTTCTGAATTTAGGGACCTTAGTTCCTGCTGGAGGTTCATTTCTTGAGGCTAAAATTTATAGAGGCAGTTTCTGGCATTATGATTGAGAGAAGATGATGGTCCTAACTTTGTAAGGTTTCCAGATTAAAACTACACTACCTTCGCACTTTGAGAGATGTTAGCCCAATTTCCAGACCGTAGGTCGAGTTTGCTTTCAGCAATCCTTCGCAAAATTTCTTCAGGCGTATCATTTGGCCCACTGGCAAAAGGAGTGTGTCTGAAAATAATAAATGATAAAAAAAATCATAAACGAAAGAAAATTATTGAAAATACTATGATTGTAAATGAAGACAAACATTACAGCCAAAGATGGCTCCATTATCCAATGATTATGTATACTTTCAACCATCCTGGGAAAACAGGACCACAATGCATTGGTTAATGCACCATACACTAACCAAACCTAATTGAAGCATTCAATAGAATGGCTCATTTTTATTTCTTGTGTCGTGCAAAAGTATTAAGTGAACTGTGCATTCAGTTTTTTTCCTCAGTCTTTTTTGAAAAAGGCAACCAGGAGAAATGTTCACTCGAAAGTGCAAAACAGCTTATCTTTTTCTTAGAACATTATTTTGAATGCAGCTGACATTAAAACATGGTGTCATATTTGAGCATTTTAAATGCCATTCTGTTCCTAAGGTATTGTAATGATCGCTGTTTTCAGAGTTTTTTGGCATGAAGGTCCCTGCTTCCATAGAGATCACACATATTTTACCAAGAGTATACATACCCTGCCAAGAGTGTGTAAAGTAGTATTCCGAGTGACCAAATATCACAAGCAGCATCATATCCTTGTCGCTTCAGCACCTCGGGAGCTACAAAGTTCGCAGTGTAACAGGGTGTCATTAACAAGCCATTTTCTGCTCTAAGTTGTTTGGCGAAGCCAAAATCACAGATCCTTAATGCATCCGCGGATGCAGATTCGTTTGCATACAGGATATTAGATGGCTTTAGATCACGGTGCACAACCTAGAAGATGGAATGATTTGAGAGAAGTCCAATGGAAATTAACAAGTACATTGACACAGTGTTTTGGATATAAATTTTGCCCAGCGCCATGAAATACAAAAAAAAACTCGCCTCTTTTCAAACGAACACATCTGCTTGAGAAAAAAATTAGAGAACAATAGTTGTGCCTTCAACTGCTGACATTACAGAGCTGTTGTCACAGATTTGTTAAGCCAGGCTAACTTCTTCAGTGCTTTGAGCACTTGTTGTATTCTTTAAGTTTATGCTATCCTGTTGAATTGTTTCATGTTTTGAAATTTCAGTTTTCTATTACTCTGAAAATTTGTTATTACTAGTGTTTGTGTCATTTAAGTATTTTAGATATTTTCTTTTTCAAACTTTGTGTTCTGAGAGGAATAATAAAAGCAGCATTTTCTAAAATTTTCATCATTATTGAGTTGAAAGAATCCAATTTTTAAGTTGAAAAAATTCAGAGGCCTGCAGAAATAAGTATCACCTTTTTTGAAATCTCTCCTCAGATGCAAAAATGGTTCAGGTTTAATTATAATCGTGTAATCTGATCTGACAATACACTTCGATAAAAAAAACATGTAAAAACTTACTATGGAGAAAAGAAAAAAAGAAAAAAAGAAGAAATTTATAAGGTGTAAGGAAAATTTTTTCTTTTCATAACAAAGGAAGAAAAAGAGCAAAGTACTTACACCGTGCTGATGAAGATAATGTACGGTAGAAACGATTGTGTTCATTACAGAGCTTGCTTCTCTTTCCGAAAAACACTTTTGATTCATTATCCTATCCAATAACTCGCCTCCTCGCATTAATTCCATTACTAAATAGGTGTGTTTCTCATCCTCATAAACCTACGTTCACACAAGAAAGAAATAATTAACGGATCAGACAAGAGTAAAATTGAATCAAAGGTCTCCTCCCTCAGAAATTATTCGCTAGAAGGGGCAAGATTACCTAATTTTACCGGGAGAGTTCGAGATTTTTTGACAGCTTCTAAAAATTATTAGTTTTACAGCCCATTTTTTTTGTATACATCTTCAAAGGAAAAGTTTCAATGCCCCTGACCACTTTTCTCCTGAAATAACTCCTTAAGGGAAATTTTTTACCACTCCCTCTACTTTAGTAATTTTTGATCTTAGACCACTTAGACTCTCTCTCATGAGGAATTTCTAGTTAATTCTTGTTTGTTTTGGATTATACATATTCTGCTTTGAGTGTTGGAAAATGATGCTATAACTCTCATTAATGATATGTAACAATGCATTTGATGCAAATTTTTTAATGTGAGTAACGAGAGAAACATTTGTTCTTTAATTATCTCAGACCATCAACATTTTCATTGAGAGAAAAAAAAATTAGTAAAGTTTCTTGATTTTATACTGGCTATAAAAGCAGAATAGCAAGAACTTACATCTCTCAAAGTAACAATGTTCTTATGATGGCCATATCTGAGTAGAATTTCGATTTCTTCTTGGCAGTCTCTTTTCGATTTATCTATAATCTGAAGGGCAAAAAAAAGATCATAGGTTAAAAGGGTAACACTGTACATCGTCTTCTTACAAATTTCATTCAACTTGATATGATTTTAACATTTTGATGGCTTAAAGTCGAAAGATGCGTATCTCAGATTGCGATGTTGTAAGCCTAAGGCTCATGTATAATTTTTTTCATTTAAGACCTGACCTAATGTTTCTATAGCAATTTTTCACACATTCTGAAAAAAAAAAAATAACACCAAAATTGCAAGGAATTTCGATAAATTTCATTGAATCAAAGATTTTTAAATGTTTCGGTTGAGGTAGGTATGCATTTTCTGCAAGCAGCCATCCATTTGATTCTTGATTGAAAATTCTTAATTGTAATCCTATTAAATCCATTTAGGATTCATTCAAACCTATCGTTTAAAATTTTAAATTTCTAAAATAATTTGCAAGTTTGTGGAGTATTAAGTCCTAATTTCTTTCCATGAGCTAAAACTTCCAGAAATAGTTTGAGGTGCTGAAACATTTAAGCATCCTTTGTTGATGAACTATATTAAGTTCATGACACATTTTATCTCCTTTATACTGAAGTCTGTTACATCTTTTCTACAGACTTTAAATGATAGCAGAAAATTATTAGAAATGATGACAAAGCTCACCAAAATGCCATTAGAGCTGAAAATGATGCTGTGAGGGAAATTACCAGAGTCATTGATAACGTTAGGACTCATCATTTAAGCTCATTTTTGGCTGCATTAGCAATTTGATGAAACGACATTTCAGAGCTGATTTTGTTCCGATTACTCAAGCTCTATTATAAAATTGAATGTTTGATCCTTTCAAATAGCTGGCATTGTTGGATAAGTTTTCATCTAATGTGTTACTAAGGTGAGTACTTTTAAAAACGCTGACCTTGAAACTGGCCTTCAATATTTCCTATTTAGAATAAAGTTGCCAATAAGTATACAATTTTAAATGAAATTATCTTTGAAAATATGATCCGGAGCAGATCAACACTTACTTTTACAGCGTATTCTATGTTTGATGCTTTGTGAACACCTAGCTTGCAGACTGAGTAGCTCCCCTTTGCAATTTCTCCTTTTAATTCATATTCATCTTGTAGGTTTCTCTTTGTAAAATTATTTAACTGAAACAAGAAAAAAAAACTATTACTGAGAGGATTTTTTTTTTTTTTTTTTTTTTTTTTTTTTTTTTTTTTTTTTTTTTTTTTTTTTTTTTAAACAAACAACTTAACAAACAAAGTAAACTGACATTTTTTAGATCACAGAGAAAATGTAAAAGAATTTTAATTTCCCTGTCATGACATAGTAAAATAGGTACTGAATCACATATCTAATATTTACTTTAACTTCCCAAGTACAGTAAAGAGACAACATAGATCAACTAAGTTGAAATTTAGCCAAACAACTGAAGAAAGCGATCGAGGTTTGGATTTTAGTGGCATCATTACTTACAGCTTGGATTTTATATTCAACCATTTGTAACAATGTAAAATCCAGTTAGGGAATGGAAAATCTTGAGTGAAAAGCAATGATACCACTTGTTTTAGGCAAAATCAATTTCAAGTTCAAAAAAGTCCGTGGTGTTACCCATGTTGGTGGATAAAACTCTACCTTTTAAAGTTAATTACATGGGTCCTTATGGGTAGATAAATGAACCAATCTGTTGACTAGAATAAAATTTGTTAGGATCCCATAACTTGAGGTTCTATGGAAGTTCTAAATCATGATTCAGAAAAGTTAAGACAAAATTTAAATAAAAACTTTCAGTTACCTTATTAATTGGTTCAACTTTAGAGCGAACAGGAACATCATTTCCCATCATGCCTTCTTCATCTATAAGACATGAGGCAACAAAACTAAAGCCCCGAAACAGTTCATGAGCATTTGCACTAGGAGGTATGCCTGGAGAATCTGCAAAAGCCACACATTCAGAGATTAGAAAGTGGAGAGAGATAAGTGTATCAGAGAGCAGGAATGTATTACATACAGCACAAATAAATCAGTTTCAATTTCACCAATAGTTGGTCAAACAGTATTAAAAGTTTGTCCAACGTAATCATCTATCACAAAAAATAGGGAGCATTAGAAGGAATAATTTCCCTTGATGTCACTAAGGAGGCTTTATAGAGACTAGAGATTTTATGCATAATCAATTGCAGCTGTCATTTCTGGGTTTCAATGCTGTAATTATTTGAGACACCGTTATTCATCAGTTAGGATTGTGGTCCTCTAATCAGCTACTTTGTTGAAATCATAAGCGACATTAAAAATAAAGCCAAATAAAAAAAAGGGCGAAGCTCTGAGACTAAAGCTCAGAGACATGTATCACATCACTCAAAAACTGAGATTGTACAAAGCTGCGGAAGTTGGAGCTCAAATTGACATTATTTGAGTTACCTTTTGGAGTTTTGGAAGTAAATTCACTATCAAAATAAAATGCATCGTCCGCTCTACTGACAGCAGGTTTGAAGGGAGGTTGAATCTCTTTCCGATAGAGCTTTGCCCAGTCTATCGTTGCAAAGAAAGGATGCGCTTTGATTTCTTCAACACCTCCGGGTCCTGCAAAGCAAAAATAGAAACATTGCTCAATATATCAAAAAATATAATGGGGCTCTCTTCTGTAGACATAAAATTATGTGGACTGAAATAAACATTTTTGAGCTATTGAAAAAATATTCTAAAAATAAAAGGGATGGATGAAAAATAGAAGGCACTTAAACATACATCCGAATCACAAACTTCGAATCTCCACACATGCTTTTATCTTTCTAGGAGCAAGTTCTATGTATTTCATGTGAGTGGATTAAAAAAGTGATTGGTACCGCGCCATGACAAAGGACCACCATGACTTGTATAGAGACAATGAAATGGGCAGCAGCGGTTAGAAGAGGTACTCTGTTTACTTAATTAATTGGAAAGCGAGTCCTGGGTCTCATCAAGCACGGCATGGATCTTTTTCTGCTTATTTTAAAATGACAACAAAAAGACTTGCATTCAAGCACATTCAAAACACTGACTTCTCAATATTTCTTGGAGACTAATGACAAATTAAGACTTAAATATCAACGGTGTAAGTCAGAAATCACATAACTCGGTTTGCGACGTCGCAAACTTCCTGACATACTTTATTTTTTAAACGGAAAACTACTCGACGGAAATTCTTTAAAACTGCCGTGATTTTTCTTCTCTGAACGAAGAAAATTCTGCAAAAACTTCAAGGAATGATGTGATTTCGTTCTCCTTTAAAAAAATAACATGGAGGCGGAGATTTACAGACACCGCAAATGAGTTATGTGATTGCCGACTTACACCGTCGATATGCTTTTGTAGCACTTTGAGGTTGATGAAAAGTTTTTTGATGATTATCATATTGTACCCAATACATTCTGTTCTTCTAATACTTTAAGAGAAGTAACAAACATATCTCCACTGCACATTTTATAAGCCATAACCATTAAAGTGTTTTGGCAGGAGGAATGATGCTACATCTAGAATTTGTTTGATGTGCTTTTGGAGCATTGCATAAATTGCGTAAAATACCTGCAGGTAGGTAAAAAGGCTAGCTGAACTTACCAGAGCCTAATCGGTTCAGGGGATTTCTTTTAAATAGTACTCGTAACAAAAGCTGGGCTTCCTGAGAGAGAGATTGTGGCATACCAAGTTTTGCCTTTAAAATTTGCGTCATTGTTTCTTTTCTATTTGCTCCTTGAAACGGTAACGACCCCGTCAACATTTCATACTGAGGAAGAAAACAACAAAATTTTATAAAAATATAGACATTATATTATCACTATTAATCTGTTGAATTTTCTACGTAATTGCAACCAGGTAATTTTTTAATTGTATTCGTAACTGGATTGAAAAATAAATCGCACTTGAAATGCCCACCATGTTTGTTTAAATTCTCCTCACTGCATGGAGGAAGCATATCATTTAAATAGTAGCAGGTTACTAGCTTCTGATGACACAAAATTGCACTAAACATGCTGGCAGCCGGGTGGAAATGGCCTGATCATGTATAGCCATTGTAGGTATATATGCTGTGTTTTACTGCTGATGATAATTTTTTGCTGATTATTCAGTTAGCAAGCAGTTGCTTCAATTAGAATCCAAAAAGAGGGGGAAAAAACTTATGAATGAATTAATAAATGGGGTTGTTCACTCACCATTAATACTCCGAAAGACCACCAGTCTGCAGCAAACGAATGTCCTTTTCTATTGACGACTTCTGGGGCCATATATTCAACAGTGCCGCAGAATGAAAACGCTTTTTGATCATCTAGAGGCTGTTTGCTCAAGCCGAAATCTGTTAGCGAAATATGGCCATCTGCATCCAGTAAAATACTGAAAAAAAGTTTACCTCATTTGTTATTTTTCTTTTGAATTCCTTGATGTAATGAAATAATTAATGTAAAAACGGACACTCTTCGAGTAATATAACTTCTCAGAGGATTAAAGCTTCTACACTGGCAAAAACCAATCAATAAACCAAAAAAAGCAGAACTGGACCCAAATTGTTTTGACTGCAAGTTCAGTCAACCTAACCTCTGAATTTGAATTAAAGTAAATGGAGATTATTTCAAACTCTCCTCCTTTCCTCCATTTTTAATAATGCAAATCTTGTGAGTGAATAAATAAAAAATGTACACAAACAAAATAATTGCCGAGCCTGATGATATAATTTTGAAATGAGGACGGTTTGGGAAAATAAAGTTTTGTGGTTAATGGAGCAAATTTATACTTACTTTTCAGGTTTTAAGTCTCTATAAATTATTCCTAAGCTGTGTATATGATCTAAAGCTAACGCTAATTCTGCTAGGTAAAATTTGACATCTTCTTCTGTGAACATAACCTGAAATAATGATAATGAGACAGAAGTGAATTTATGACCTAATAGACAGCAACATAATTTTAAAACTTCATAATTTTTGAAATTTACCAGAAACAAGACTCCCCTAATTCTAGGGTTCAAAGGACCGATCCTGTAGAGATTGACTAATAACAAAATTAGTGAATACTTAATACCCAAGGGCAAGTCGACATACTTTTAGTGAAAACTGTTTCTTGGATACATTTTTTTCCGGCATCAAACATTTCACAAAACTACTGAATCCTTTTCCAAACTAACGGTGGCTGAACGTTTATTGGTTTCATGTTTACTGAGGGAAAAAAGATTTGAATTTTCAATTCATTTACCCTGGAGTTTTTAGATTTAAGAGTTAAACTAGATGCATAATATAATTGGACAATTTTCCAAAAATTATCCTTCATAGAGATTCTTTCAATAGATCCAGTCCATAACATGGAATGGATAGCTTTAATTAAAATTAGCCTAGCTGAATTAAACGTTGCCTTTTCCCCCCTCATCTTTCTCAACGTTTTCAACAGGAAAATGAGCATCATTTACATCTATTAAACAGAAAGGAACCAAGCCACATCAGCTGTTGCCAAATTTAATCGCGCAATTTAAGTTTTAACATGATAACGGTTGTGTGGATTTTTGGGCAAATTTCAGTGAATTTTCTACGTAACACAAAGCAACTTCCTTAAAATGTTCAAAGGAATCCGCACAAAAGTTCTCTTGTAAAAAATAAAATTTCCACGTTAAATTTGGCAATAGCTGATGTGGCTCGGTTCCTTTCTGTTTAAAGCGGTCCATTTAGTCGTGAAACTCGAAAAAGATATTCTTGATATAATCTAGCGGAAATTCACAGATAATTTCAATAAAGCATTAAATTTTATAGTTTTCAACTGAAAAATGAAACTCGAAAGGATATTAGGCACAATCAAATTCAATTACACTAATTTTAGTCAAAGTCATTTGTATACGAAAGTCAAGGAATTTCCTCAAAGGAGCCTTTAGGTACTCCACATTCTATGCTTAATTACTGAATGTCACATTGGTTTTATGCTTTGATGTGGTGACTTAAATGTCTGCATTAGGTAACTCCATTCACTTCTACTTGTACTGGCACCTTTTATTTTTACTCCTTTGGGAGCAAAATATTTCAAATTCACGAGCAATACACCAACAAAATGTGAGCAGAGCTGTAAAATCTTATCAATATTTTGTGAAGCCCATTCCAGACATAAAGGCTTCTTTTAAAACTAAGCCATTGATGTAAAGAGATTTTGTGTGGACATCTTAAGCTTACCTCCTTGGATAACCGGGTAAACAGGTCACCACCTCTAAGAAAATCTAGAATTAAATAAAGTTTTCCTTCGGTTTGAAATGCATAGTGGAGACGAACGATGAACGGATGCCTCACATCCACCAAGATATTTCTTTCCATTTTTGTTCTAATTCGATCTTTAACTGCAACAGATAAATTAAAAAATCAAAATTAGAATGACAAAGGATTCCTTTGGTTAGGAAAAATACTCCATGCTTTAGTTCTAACAGCTTGACTGATTCACATGACCTGATCAAAGCGAAATTGGGGATTATACTGATTACAGTAAAAGTGGACGTACCTGAGAATACTGAACGTACTCATGCGTTAATACAAAAGCGTTGGATGCATTAAGTTCATCAAAGTATTATTTTATTTTAACTACTTGTGCTGTATTCAGCAAAGTATTCTCTCCATGGCGGCAAACATTTCAGGAGCAAAATTTTTTTAACTCAGATTTTGTACAAAATTGTATTCAGTTTCGAGCTGTTTCTATGATTGGAAGTACTTACTTTTTAAAGTTGCTTTTTTAAGAACTTTCATGGCATAAAGAGTTCCGCTATCTGGCCCGACGACTTTTCTAACTAAAAATACCTGGAAAAAAGAGAGAAAATAGTTCTTCGTCAAAAAGAAAAACGTTAGGGACTGATAATTCAAAAGATTGGAATACACAACCATCATTCCATCACTGGCTATAGCAAGAACATTCAAATTTTGACTTTTCCTGATAGAATAGGTATCACAATAGTTTCAGTCTTGACGGCCAATTTTTGTAATTTTATTTCTATAGACAGGCGACTCACATGGTGATATGTATTTAGCAGGGCGTAAGTGAGGAGCGTGGATTTTCAATTAAGTAAAGGAGGTTCGGAGTATCATTCGTCTACGAGACTGGAAGTGAAGAAAAAATTATAATTTCAGATTTCGTACACCAAATAATTTTTGTAGACTTGAAATACATGTCAGGACTGGCTCTATACTATCCTCGACTCAGTTTTTTTTTTTTTTTGAAAAATTTTGATCCTTTTTCGCTGAATGTTGTACATTAATGTTTTTTCTTCCAGATTTCTTGTTTTAGAGAAAGATCCTCTCTTCGGCCTCGTGTGGTGTAGGAGTTTTACCGCTTGTTTTATCATCAGAAGACAGGTTTCACCTTTTAGCTACGCGACCATAAAGATTGTTGATAGTCTCAAGCTAGCCGAAGGCTGGCCTTAAGGTGATTCGTCAAGCTCAAGTGGTCGAACTGGCATGCGATAAATCACATTGATTAGGTCAAAAATCTCTGCAGATTTTAAATTTTCAGCAAGAAAAAGGACGATAGCCCCTGCGTATGAGCCTAAAGAATCATTCTAAACCCAAAAATCGGCAAAATTCAGAGAAATAAAAGCAGAATAGTGTTTGGAAAAAAACCTCGCGTTTGATTCAGCTATCGATTTCGGTATCAAATGCGAGGTTTTTTTCCCGAACACTATTCTGCTCTTAATTCTCTGAATTTTGCCAATTTTTCGGTTTAGAATGATTCTTCAGGCTCATGCGCAGGGGCTATCGTCCTTTTTTATGCTAAAAATTAAAAATCTGCCGCGATTTTTGACCTAATCAATGCGATTTATCGCATGCCAGTTCGACCACGTCACTTGAGCTTGACGAATCACCTTAAGGTAGGGAATAGGAGAGGCAGAAGTAAATTTTAAGGTCAACTGGATTGCATTTTGCAAAAAGGAGCCACTAGCATTGCAATGTTGCTAAGATTGTGCAACTTCTTTTGTCTTGGAGGAAAAACCCGATTATCCCTTAATAGGATCTATTTTACTCGCTAAAAACTGTACTTTTAAGACAAGAATTACCATCTAAATTTCATAGTTTTTCGCAATTTTATTGCAAAGGATGAAGTTGCACAATCTTAGCATCATTGCAATGCTAGTGGTTCCTTTTTGCAAAATGCAATCCGACTAGAAGTAAGTTTAAAAAAGGCTGGTTACCTTTCCAAAAGAGCCTTGTCCTAGGACTTTGAGGAGCTCGAATTGGCCGGGGTCTGCCTTGTCGTGACCCTCTTTGATGACCTCCCGGAGCTCGATTTCGTGCGAGTCATCGTCGATCTCCAGCTCTTCATTCTCCTGCTGCTTGCACACCTTCGGCTGGTTTGGTGCCACCATTGATGAGACCGACCGGTGGTGAATATTCTGTAACACAAAACAATAACTCATCATTTCAATGGTTTTATCCTGCTCACTTGCTTCAACTTGAAACGCAACTTAGACGTTGGAGACGGCAATCAGTGGATCGAGTCAATAGGAGAGGTCGGACATAATTTAGAAACTTTAAAAGCATATATCTTCATTAATATGCAAGTTTGATGTTTTAAAAATAGTTTCATTGGTTTTCTCTTAAAATTGTCTATAAAAAGCACCCTTTAAAATTAAAATTGTGATGAGATAAACGTAAAATTGTACAATTTTTGTCAAAATTTTCATGTCCGACTTCTTCCAGTGACTCGATCCACTGTGAGGCAGAGCCAGAGCTGTCTTTATGATACAGGGTTAAAATAAAGCACAAAAACATAGCCCGAATATACGAATAAAGAAGGAGAGAATTAAAACAAACAAGGCCAAAACATTGCCAACACTAAAAGGCGGGACGTTTCGAGCTGTTACCGGCTCATTTTCAGCTGCAAAAAAACACGAGAAACAAGTAAAACTGGGGCCAGGTCGCCACTCAATTTTTTACTTGCTTTTTGTGTTTTTTTGCGGCTGAAAATGAGCTGGTAACAGCTCGAAACGTCCTGTCCTTTCGCGTTTTTAATGTTTTAGCTTTGTTAACCCATGTTTTAATCCTCTCCTCCTTCATTGACATCATAGGGTACAGACCTATCGATATTCCTGCTGACTTTTGAGGATCAAACAGTACGTTTCAGACCACGCTGGATTCTGTATTTTTTTTTTTAAAAAAATGGAAAAACTTGAAAAAAGATGCTCCTTACTTGAGTGAACGCTCTCCGACGTCCGAACGTTGGAACCAAACCCATGCTGAATTTTTTTTTTTTTTTTTTTTTTTTTTTTTTTTTTTTTTTTTTTTTTTTTTTTTTTTTTTTTTTTTTTTTTATATATTTATCTTTTTTAAACAATAGTTTCTGCAAGACTGCGTGGAAAATCACCGGGCTACGACGGAAAAAAATCGAGCTTGGAAAAAAATAAACCTCGGGGCACACCCGAGCGAAGCAAGCGGATTCAACTTGGGTATTATTGAGCCCCGGGTTGGGAGTCCAACGCAAAAGCGCGTATCTTCCCTAGACTACCCTCGGAGATAAGCGGTTCTTGCTTGTGGGTGCAAAAAAATTCAAACGGCGCGGATGCGGACGCGACGACTACGACGCCGCTCAATCGATGATCGAATTTCCGGTCCCGCTTCCCGCGTCCGAGCCCAAACTTGCGGTAAAAGCTCCGCCTCACGATGCGACGTTGCAAATTTCCTCTCATGTTTTATTTTTTGAAAGGAAAATGAGAAGCGCAGGAAAAAATCTAACTACTTGGATATGATTAGAGTCCCTTCATACTGAGAGTTGGACGTATTTCTATCAAACGGAACTATGTGCATTATGACGTGAGCCCTGTTATGCATGTATCTTTACGGGTCTCAGGGCTCATGTCTTAATGCACATAGTTCCGTTTGGCAGAAACACGTCAAGTTAAGGCAATGTGAATCCATGTCTGATTGGTTACCGTATGTTAGGCCTCCACAGTGTCACAAACGGGAATAAAGATTACATTTTCACCAATTGCAAAGATTATAATGTGGAATGGACTGGGGAATTACGGGTTCGGCAAGGAACGAGTGGAATGAGAGAAGGAACGGAGAAAGAAATTTAAGAATGAGCCGATCAAAGATTACGAAAAACGTTCAATTTGTGTAATCTTTATTCCCGTTTGTGACTCCATGTTGTCTTAACTCTCAGTATAAAGGGACTCTAGCTATGACAACAACCCGTGTAAACCAATAGCATCCAATAGTATTCCCTTCATCTTTTACAGGGTGTCTAGTATTTTTTAATTTTGAAAAATCCTGATATTTTCCTGGTTTTTCCTGATACTTTATAAAAAATTCCTGATTTTTTCATTTTGAAAGTTACTGATATGTTCCTGATTTTTCTTGACTTCTGGCACGGTAGGCAAACAGCAACAAGACTTTCTCCGCTGAGGAGATTAGCGTAAGAAAAATTCCTGATAAAACGTCCGATTCTCCGATTTACCAGATATTTTCCGGTTTTTTCGGATGCTAGACACCCTGCTTTATGACTATCGGTTTGTCTATCGACTTCAATAATCAGCGCGGTTTGGCACTGCCGCCCGCGCTACGGTATCAATCGAGAATCGCAGGCGACAAAAGCGTGCCTGGATGTTTACTTAGCAGCGCGCGGATGCTAAATCCTCGGTCTCGAGATAGAGCCGTACACTTCCAGAGATCACCGAGGGCGAAATTTCGACTCAAAAAAGGGAAAAATGGCAACGCTGCGAAGTTGGACTCGTCACCGGCGTGATAAATTGAATGCTCGCGGTCTCCTGTCTGTGACGCTGTCGACGACGCGACGTCGGGACACCAGTGGCGTGGCGTGAATGCTCGATTATCGATATCTCGCCATTTGAAGCTACGGTAAAGAATCGATTACTAAGGTGTTCGCTGCGAACACCCTAATAATCGATCTTTTTTCATAGGTTTGAGTGGCGTATCGATCGATATATCGCAAAGCACGCAACGCCACTGCGGGGCACTGAGGCGGAGGTGCTCGGATCATGGAAACATCGACATGCGTCACAATATGAAAAGTTGGTCGGGGAAAAATACGGCCCAAAGAACCGGGAATCTAGACAAAAAGAGCGATGAAAGCGCCCTGAACGCTTTTCCATGTAGGATTCGAAGTATGATGCGAGAGTCAACTCACACTCAATCCAAGGTCTTCTTTCATGGCGAAATTGTAAGAATGCTCAAAATATTGAAAAGTTGAACGGATTCGAGTAAGATACAGTAGCGGCTCCCTATTCTCGGTTGGAGATCTCTATAGGCTTGACGGGATCGCTACCACTCCTACACGGAGAAAAAAACTTGGGTGGGACCCGAAGTTTAGGTCATAATGGATCTCTGAAGTTTTCGTATTGAGCATCCGAACACTTGTGGTCCAGCTGCTGAGGTTTGGATCACACATCTGAAACTTCAGTTCTTACATCTGAAGTACTTCGGTTTTCACATCCGAAAAACTTCGGTTTTCACATCCGAAAAACTTCGGTTCTCACATCTGAAGTACTGCAGATGTAAGAACTGAAGTTTCAGATGTGTGATCCGAACCTCGACAGCTAGACCTTAAGTGTTCAGATGCTCAATCCGAAAACTTCAGAGATCCATATGACCTAAACTTCGGGTCCCACGCACGAGGTTTTTTTCTCCGTGTAGTGAGAGTGCCGGTAACCTATAGAAAAGCTTGATTTGTGCAATAAGTAAGCGAGAACAAGTCTTATAAAGACTGCAGGGCCGGTTTTATCTACTTGCCGCCCCCTTCTCATTCGTTTTGGAACATCAATAAAAACCATCAAAGAACGTGCCGGAGGCGGAGGGGGAGAGGTGCACATACGCGTTTACTCGTGCGTTAGACATACTTTTTGCAAAAGCCCTATCACCACTACTAGCAAAAATTCATGGAACTTTGCGCGAAAGTTAGGTTCCGTAGACCTGTCTCTGTGTAGACAAGGCCTTCCCTTTAGAAATGAACGAAAAGATTATGAAAGACTAGACATGAATGTGGTTTAATAATTTTAACTTCCGCCGCCGCGCCCGCGCTGACCGCACTGTGTTTGGCGCAATGCGTGAAGTATTGTAGGCGCATGCAGTCTTGTAGGCGCTATGCATTTCACGCCGAGCGCTGCAGCTGAACGCACTATGTTTGGCGCAATACGTGAAGTATTCATGCAGTCTTGTAGGCGCTATGCGCTTCACGTTGACCGCTGTCAACAGTCTAATACTTAGCTCCTTTGTCCAGTGCAATCACCCACTTTCACCAATAGGATCACTCAATTTTCCATTTTTCATCCTTTATCAATGTCCTTGGTCTTGTGCTTTTTCTGTCAATTGCAACAATCAGTCTGCTGAGCCTTCTAAAGGGAAACTGAAGTTCGGTTTCGGTGAACCGAAATTTCAGATGGTAGAACCGAACTTTCGGTTCTTGCGGCTGAAAACTCGGTCCTCCGAACCGAAAAGCCCCCACCGGACTTGTCCGCTCGTAAACTCGTGGTTTCTTTCCTCCGCGGGGATTTTTCAGTGCTCCCCGACTAACGTTTCCGCCAGCGCACAGAGGATCGAGCCAATAGGAGAGGTCGGACAAAATTTGGAAACTTTAAACGCTTATGCCTGTGTGTATACTAAACTTTAAGATCTAAAAGTGGTTCCATTGGTTTCCTCGTAAAACTTTCTTCTGGAGGCACCCCTACAAGTCTAAAATGTGACGAGATAAACATCAAAATTTGTGGTTTTCAGAGTTGCCACAGAATTTAGAAAATGAAATTCCCTGACACATTTTGGTGAAATTCCCTGACAATTGAGGATGTGACGGATGGTTAAGAAGGCAAAATTGAAAATAGTTTTCAGGCGAAATTTATTGTTCGAAACCTCAAACCCGTTCTAGAAAGCAAATGAAGGTGATTCAACAAATTTTCCCTGACATTTTCGTCATTTTATTCATTTTCCCCGACACTTCCCGATTTTCCCTGACTTTTTAAAATTCCCTGACATTTTCCGCTTTACCCCGACTGTGGTAACCCTGGGTTTTAGTATTAAATGTCATGTCCGACCTCTCCAATTGACTCGATCCACTGTACGGCGGCTCAATTTGTGAGTCAAAGTTAACCCGAGATAACAGAGCGGGAGTGAATGAGGAGCCAGCAAATCTCTCTGCCTTGCCCTGCCCTCTCCCCTCTCCCTCCGAGGGGCCCGGGGACAAAGTGGTGGCGGCGCCGCCGAAACCACCCGCACTACACCGCGATCCAGTTCGGCAAGAACGACGTAACTCGAGCGGGTGCCTTGCGGCGGATACGCGGTTTTCGTCGAGTCCCGGGGCGGAATCCGACGGTCGGGCACGATGTTGACAGAAGATGAGGGGCTTTGTGTCCGCGTTGTTGGCTCCGCTCATTTTTCTTCCCGG